CGAACCCATACTGCCAGGAGCAACGCAACTGGTATGTACAGGGACGCCTTAATCCGCTTGACCATCACGACCGGACAAAAGGATTAAGGCGTCCCTGTACATACCAGTTGCGTTGCTCCTGGCAGTATGGGTTCGAGTCACTTCTGGGGTGTGAGTTTTCAGTTGTATATAGTCCTGGGGACCATTCAGGCTTGTTTGCATATATATTTATATATATATATATATATATATATATATATATATATATATATATATATATATATGTATATATATATATATATATATATATATATATATTTATATATATGTATATATATATATATATATATATATATATATATATATATATATATATAATAAATTTGTCTGCACCCGGGTCTTTTCACCCCTCTTTCCACCCTTTTCCCCTCTTCACCCCATCTCCCCTTGACCATCTCGTCTCCTACCCCATGGTTTTTCTTCTTCTTGGGGGGCCCCCCCCCCCCCCCCCTGCTTCTCACTCTTCCCCTTCTCTCAGAAAATTGATTATTAAAAAGTACCTCCCCGTCCCCCTCTCATTTTCCCCTCTTCCCTTTCAGACAATTTATTATTTAAAAGCACCGAATTAACGGTATGGGATCTCCCAGAAAACCTATTATGATAAGGTTTAGGGAGTTACACTAAATATTTCACATTTGACCATGAAAATAGTATGTGGTGGTCTCCATAACTGCTAATATTTCACAAAGCATTTAACGTACGCTCACCCCGACCGTCCTATGTCCGTCCCATACCCTAGACCATTCTCCCTGCAAACTTGGGTGAGGCTAGCACCCAGGCGTCTGGCCTTAAACTTTATACACCACGCAGTTCTATTTTGTAGTATAGATCTGTGACGAGTTTAGAAAATGCCTATTATGAATTGGTTTCAAAAATGACTTGCCCTGACAAAAAAATCCATTACACCTAATGGCAGCTAAAACACGCTTTTAACTATTTTTCGGATTATGTAAGTGAATATATTATTTTTTAGGGCACTAAAAGCACTTTTTTTAACGGGTGGGTAGATGATTTTTGTAAAAAGCGTGCTTGAAATTAGTGGATGGTTAGTCCCCCATTGTTAGTGGGTAGTTGACCCTGCTCTGATGACCTCTACCAGGGCAGTGGAGGTCACTGTCGGCTTTTAACTATTCAATTCACTCACTGATGCTGGAAGACCTCATAGTCCAGCTGAAGTTTGCTAGTTCGGGCTAGTACAAGTTGGTACAGGTTGGTGCTAGTGGGGACAAGTGCAGGCCTGTGCAGGCTAGTGCAGGCTAGTGCAGGTTGGTGCTAGTGCAGGCTAGTGGCTGAACTCGCATCACCTACCACCATCCTATGAGATGGGAGGAGAATAGATATTAGGTGAACTTTAAGAGTTTTTTACCCAAGCCAGAGTAACCCCGACTATTGCTCACAGTAACAACGCCGTGCACCTTAAGCTTTATAATGTGAAATAATGATCATATTAACAGCGATAAATTCCCAATAATGTTCGCTGTTTTATCTACCTGGCAATTATAATGTTTAAATACCTACTATAACATTTAAATTTAAAGCACTTTTGAATTGTTTACCGTTGATCAGGTTGTTCAACAACATCAAGGTTGTTTAATTATATTATCGTTCGCTAATGAATTATTTTATTATCTTAAACACGTTGTGCGTGTTCAATTTGAACTATACGATTATTGGATTATTTTAAAAGGTAATCAGATTATATAAATGCTATGAATAGCAGAATGTCTTCAATGACATTAGATTGATTGATTGATGAAGATTAAGCCACCCAAAAGGTGGCACGGGCATGAATAGCCCGTAAGTGGAGGCCCTTTTGAGCCATTACCAGTTTCAAGAGCTTATACTGGAGATCTGTGGAGGTGCGGCTGCACCCTGCGTGACGGGAGATGTCTCCCGTGAATGACATTAGAATGGTTGAAACATTATCTATTGATTGTACCTATCTACCCGTTGTTGGTTCAGGTGGGCAACGTCCTCGCGGCCAGGTCTCTGACGAGGCCGCTTGATTGGTGGTGGGATCAACCAGGCTGTTGAAATACGCAGCTCCCATCCTGGTTCATCCGGTATCCTCTGGAGGTGTTCCCTCTCTGGAACACCGTGAGAGGTTGGCCAGTTAAGTCTAAAGTACCAGACCGTTCTTAGATTGGTTTAAGATTCATTTGTAAATTTACAGGAGTCGGAAGACTGTGGCTGACACAACCCGACCTACACGTGGGAAATGGAAGTGACGAAGTTTCGATCATCTTAGACCTTTAAGTTGGATATAAGGGTCCAAGATGGACTGAAACGGATGGACTGAAAAGACTGGTTTCGGGCGTTTCTGCCCGAAACGCTTTGCGTAATAGTGGCTTTAGGCATTGTATGTACTAGCTCTATCTATAAATTCATTAATATTTGTATCACCCCTTGTATGTATGTACTTTACCTAAATAAACATTTGAATTTTTTTTTAAACATTGCCACTTATTTCATATTTTTATGTTGATTATTTATAAATATTTAGGGATGAAAACGGTATCAAATTGGGATAGTTTGTAGAGGAGTCATGTGTGTCGATGGTGATAATTATTCCTGTGGTATTTTAAAGTGACGTAATTAATGAGAAAATGTTTAAGTGATACAATGGGATCGAACTTCCTTCCTTGGGCTTCACACTCCAGGACCCACTGGATCATGAGCTCATCATGGTTCAGACGGCATTGCGTGTATCAGGACGACCTCCCTAGAAAAGGGCGTTCGAATATGTTACATTCCCACAATACTTTTGCATAAATACATGACTTAAATTAGTATGATTTTGATTTTAATTAATATAATTACACATAATTGTGATTTTAATTAATATAATTACATATAATTGTAATTAATAGTGTTAACAGTGAGGTGGTTAGGAATTACTGCCCAAATCGTGTTATGCTCCTGGGAATTACCGGATAATATGCTATTATAATCAGTATTAGAGACGTAATTAAATAGCACTGTTCACTACGACTTTCTGAGGGGCCTAATGAATTACCGAGGTCTAATGTAATTGGTGGAGGCAGCCGGCTCTGTAATGGTAATCTGTGGACTGATTATGACTGGGGGTTGGTGGGTGATTGGGGGGTTGGTGGGTGATTGGAGTTCTAAGATAATTTTCATTGTAATTAGAAGCTGATTTTGGCTGGTGGATGCAATCAGTCCTCAATAAGCACAAAATTTTATTAAGGAAATGATTGATGATTAGACATGTTTTAATTAAGTCTAAGTCTTGATACATAATTAGACCTCGGCCTACCTTGTGGAGATTCCGAGGATCCACGTTCCCTCGGCCCGGCATTGTCACAGCCGTGGAAGTAATATTTGAACGCAGATTATAATTAAGTGCACCTGGCATCAGAAATAGTATACACAAAAATAAACACAAAAAAATATCAACTTGGCTAAAGTAAAAATGGCAGAAATAAAATTATTAAATTGGGCTAGGCAAGAAAATAATTAAGAACAAGCAATTGTAAACTAAATTTAGCAATCTTTCATTAAAAAATGACTGGAATTAGATGTATGTAAATTAATTAAACCAGACTAAGCACAGCAATTGAGAATATAAAAACTGGAAGTGCAATTGCAAAATTTCATTAAAAAGATTCAACACAGCAAGTGGCAATGCAAGAAATATGTATGTAGCACATAAACTGGACACAGGAATGTATATAACTATGGTAAAAAAAAATTATAATATGCAATGTTGAAGGAATAAATTTAAATTTTAGGCCTGGAGGAATTAAAAAAAATTATATTGCACAAATCCTTAACTGCTACTAAAACAAGGATTTCTTAATTCACTGGAATTTGAATTTACCAATAACACTCTAGGAGAACAATTAAAATTCAATGAAATTACTGTAAGAAGCAGGAATGTTGAAATCACACAGGAAAACTGTGGGGAGTGCAGTACTGAACCAGCTCCAATATTTAACAAGTCACTGAATGGTTAATTCACAGGATATTATGGGAATTATTACATAAGTCACTTTTTAACACTTGGCACGTTGTTCTCAACTAGCAATTACTTATCTCAGGGTTGTAATTTATGAGGATCACCAGTAGCCAAAGTAGGAGAAGCGTCGTGAAGATCTGAAGAGGCCCATGTGAGGCGTGTTTACAAACTGGATGCGACGGCAGCGCTCCTGGCGGCGGTGGCGCGAGACTCAGGGACCCCACACTGTTCAGGCTAGAGGCACGAAGATAAATTCTGACGACGACAATATTGCGACGATGGAATAACCAGTTGATACTTGCGACGATGGCTGACGACGATTGCAGTAGCTTGCACCCTCACGAAGCTTGATACTGTCAGCTTGGGTGGCGGTGGTGGTGGTGGTGGGTGTAATAGGTGGTTCCCACGTGGTGGCGCGAGGTTCAAAAATGGCTGGCGCGGGAAGCTTCCTTCCTCCTCACTGATGAGTGAGCGTTCTCACAGGAAAATATTGACCCTTACTTCTAAAACGTTAGCCTGGAGTAGTGGTTGATGGCAGGACCCCGGTCTGGCACAATATTTGATGCGTGGGTGGCAGGATGGCGGCTTATGGCGGTGGCGGTGGCGGCGGTTTTGGCTGGAACACGAGGCGATGCTGGGTACTGGAACTTTTGCTTCCAGAAAAAAATTTCTGGATCCCACTGCTGCTACCAGTATTCGTTTGCCTTGTTCGGGTTGAATGTAGACACAGTAGTCGCTTCTGTATATATTTATTGAGTGAGGCAAACAGGTGTATAACTGGCCAGCCGAGGTCCACCTACTCTGGGTCTGTGAGGATAACTGAGGCTGCTGGGAGCATGCTTGATGCTCCTCTGTCTGGCATGACGTCAGAGGCCTACTTGCCTGTGATTGGTTACATTTCAACTGACAGAATTTGAGTATAACATCTTAATCAGGCACTCTGTCCAGCCTTAATGCCTAATTAGACCTAAATTAATAACAGCAAGCACTGGAACCGCCCTCCGTGCCGCCGGAACCGCCCTCCGTGCCGCCGGGACCGCCCTCCGTGCCGCCGGAACCGCCCTCCGTGCCGCCGGGACCGCCCTCCGTGCCGCCGGAACCGCCCTCCGTGCCGCCGGGACCGCCCTCCGTGCCGCCGGAACCGCCCTCCGTGCCGCCGGGACCGCCCTCCGTGCCGCCGGAACCGCCCTCCGTGCCGCCGGAACCGCCCTCCGTGCCGCCGGAACCGCCCTCCGTGCCGCCGGAACCGCTCTCCGTGCCGCCGGAACCGCCCTCCGTGCCGCCGGGACCGCCCTCCGTGCCGCCGGAACCGCCCTCCGTGCCGCCGGAACCGCCCTCCGTGCCGCCGGAACCGCCCTCCGTGCCGCCGGAACCGCCCTCCGTGCCGCCGGAACCGCCCTCCGTGCCGCCGGAACCGCCCTCCGTGCCGCCGGAACCGCCCTCCGTGCCGCCGGAACCGCCCTCCGTGCCGCCGGAACCGCCCTCCGTGCCGCCGGAACCGCCCTCCGTGCCGCCGGAACCGCCCTCCGTGCCGCCGGAACCGCCCTCCGTGCCGCCGGGACCGCCCTCCGTGCCGCCGGGACCGCCCTCCGTGCCTAGAATACGCACATGACCTAGGAATATTTAAGATTGTGTTTTAGCTTCATTTATTTTAAAATAATTCTTCACTAGTCAGTATACTGCTATTCAAAAAGCTAAGAACGTATGAATTCGTGACTATTGACGACAGTCACAATAGGTACTGTCTCAACAGTAAGATGGGTTGCGTAAATATACATGAATATTGACATAAACAAGTACAAACAATTATTTGTTAACAATAAACATGATCATTAAATATATTTAGTTTGCTATTATTATTATTAAACAGTAAAGAATATGAAATTAGCCCGTTAAATGATATTCAGAAAAGCAAATTATCAAACAAAACAATTGTTATAATGGTATTGTGTGTATTTGTTTTCCATACAAAAACAATAACCGGAGCAATAACAGTAATTGCAATGCACCTTTCCCCAGTCAGTCAGTTTCACTGTAAAATCTACTATTCAGTAAATTAACTGACTCCATAAAGTAATGCAATATAATCAGCTGGAATCCCTTCATTGCAGGTAATGTGTGTTATTAATTACCTGTTTATGTAATTACTTGTTCATTTGTAGCTGTGAGCGTTGTTGTTGTTGGTGTGTGAAGTATAGTGTAACTTGCTGTTACTTTGTGTTGGTGTTAAATACTTGTAATGTTGTACTCGTGTCTTGTATATGATTGTGAGTCCTGTGTGGTAGTGAATGAGGCAGCATCCTCACTGTCTTGTGTGACAATGAGGCAGCATCCTCACTGTATTGACAATGAATGAGGCAGCATTCTCACTGTATTGACAATGAATGAGGCAACATCCTCACTCTATCGACAATGAATGAGGCAACATCCTCACTGTATTGACAATGAATGAGGCAGCATCCTCATTGTATTGACAATGAATGAGGCAGCATCCTCACTGTATTGACAATGAATGAGGCAGCATCCTCATTGTATTGACAATGAATGAGGCAGCATCCTCACTGTATTGACAATGAATGAGGCAGCATCCTCACTGTATTGACAATGAATGAGGCAGCATCCTCACTGTATTGACAATGAAGGAAGCAGCATCCTCACTGTATTGACAATGAATAAAGCAGAATCCTCACTGTCTTGTGTGACAATGAATGAGGCACCATCCTCACATGCTTGTGCTCATACCAGTGCCTATATAAGTATTGATAAATCTGAGAAGTATCTTTGAGAAAACGATAAGGCAATAAAATGGGTTCGAATTCGCTTCCACGGACTCATTAGCTCATCATGGTTCAGTGGGTAGTGCATGTGTCTGGACAGCCCGTCCTCCAAACAAAGATCCAAAAGTGATTCCATGCACCCGCCAAACCCCCTGTTTATGAATGAAAAGCGGTTTACACACGACTCAACTGCTGACGTTCGAACATATCCGGAACAAGTGTTTCACTGACGAATTTTGTTCCAACCACAACGCTGTAAATGCTTCACCCACGTACTACAAATACAAATAATCGCCAACAGAACCTAAACACCTAACCTAACCTATGCCTATATATACACAACATGCTAATATATTATAATATTAATTTATACTTGAGAAAATTCCCGTTTTGAATGAACAGCATGTTAAAATTTATGAATGCGTCTGTGGGGTCGACCGCTGGATGTAATGGACTTGAGTCGAGGACGGGTTGGTCTGGAAAGTATTTTATTTCTAAAAATCCCGCATCATTTTGCCTCAATATTTTCTCTGAGCATAACCAAAATGCTGGTAAACCAATAAAACAACAAAGCGAACATAGCTGGGACGAAAACGTTGGTCTACGGGTCGTTTTCTCTCGAATTCTCAAATTTTTTAAAAATATTTTTGCCCTCCTATGGTTTATGGGAGTGATTACCTGATGGTGGTGGTGTGAGCAGCTGGGCCACACTGGCACCCATGCTAACCTGCCCTCAAGTTTTATCATTGTAATGAGGGTTTTTATGAGTGGGAACGGATTGAGGGATGAGAGGGAGGGAGGGAGGGAGGGAGGTGGGAGGAAGTTTCATTAAATAAATTAGGATATCAAGTAACTTTATGATGTATTTAGACTTTATATCTGGAACCTTTTTCTCTAGATTTGGTTCTCGGGTCCAAACTAAAGGGTCCGTGGACCAGGGACTGTACCGTGGTGTACCTGTACAGCTGACTAACTCCCAGGTACCTATTTACCGCTAGGTAACAGGGGCATAGGGTGAAAGAAACTCTGCTACGTCGTTTCTCGCCGGCGCCCGGGATCGAACCTGGGACCACATTACAGGGACTGTACCGTGGTGGTAGTTGGGGGGGGGGGAGACACCACACCACACCACACTAGCTACAGTGTGTGTGTGTACTCACCTATATGTACTCACCTATATGTGCTTGCAGGATCGAGCATTGACTCTTGGATCCCGCCTTTCGAGCATCGGTTGTTTACAGCAATGACTCCTGTCCCATTTCCCTATCATACCTGGTTTTAAAATTATGAATAGTATTTGCTTCCACAACCTGTTCCTGAAGTGCATTCCATTTCCCCACTACTCTCACGCTAAAAGAAAACTTCCTTACATCTCTGTGACTCATCTGAGTTTCAAGCTTCCATCCATGTCCTCTCGTTCTGTTACTATTCCGTGTGAACATTTCGTCTATGTCCACTCTGTCAATTCCTCTGAGTATCTTATACGTTCCTATCATGTCCCCCCTCTCCCTTCTTCTTTCTAGTGTCGTAAGGCACAGTTCCCTCAGGCGCTCTTCATACCCCATCCCTCGTAGCTCTGGGACGAGTCTCGTTGCAAACCTCTGAACCTTTTCCAGTTTCATTATATGCTTCTTCAGATGGGGACTCCATGATGAGGCGGCATACTCTAAGACTGGCCTTACGTAGGCAGTGTAAAGCGCCCTAAATGCCTCCTTACTTAGGTTTCTGAATGATGTTCTAACTTTTGCCAGTGTAGAGTACGCTGCTGTCGTTATCCTATTAATATGTGCCTCAGGAGATAGATTAGGTGTTACGTCCACCCCCAGGTCTCTTTCACGCGTCGTTACAGGTAGGCTGTTCCCCTTCATTGTGTACTGTCCCTTTGGTCTCCTATCTCCTAGTCCCATTTCCATAACTTTACATTTGCTCGTGTTGAATTCTAGTAGCCATTTCTCTGACCATCTCTGCAATCTGTTCAGGTCCTCTTGGAGGATCCTGCAATCCTCATCTGTCACAACTCTTCTCATCAACTTTGCATCATCCGCAAACATCGACATGTAGGACTCTACGCCTGTAAACATGTCGTTAACATACACAAGAAATAGAATTGGTCCCAGCACCGATCCTTGTGGTACTCCACTTGTTACTGTTCGCCAGTCCGACTTCTCGCCCCTTACCGTAACTCTTTGGCTCCTTCCTGTTAGGTAGTTCCTTATCCATTCTAGGACCTTTCCCCCCACCCCCGCCTGCCTCTCGAGCTTGAACAGCAGTCTCATGTGCGGTACTGTATCAAAGGCTTTTTGGCAGTCCAGAAATATGCAGTCTGCCCAACCATCTCTGTCCTGTCTTATCCTCGTTATTTTATCATAGAATTCCAGAAGGTTTGTTAGGCACGATTTCCCTGTCCAGAACCCATGTTGATGTTTGTTCACAAACCTAATGTTCTCCAGGTGTGCAACCAGTCGTAGCCTAATTATTCTTTCCAGTATTTTACAGGGGATGCTTGTCAGTGATACAGGTCTGTAGTTAAGTGCCTCCTCCCTATCTCCTTTCTTGAAGATCGGCACGACATTTGCCTTCTTCCAGCAACTGGGCAATTCTCCTGACATAAGTGACTCATTAAAGATCATTGCCAGAGGCACGCTGAGGGCCTGTGCTGCTTCTTTTAGTATCCACGGTGATACTTTGTCTGGTCCAACTGCTTTAGTTGCATCTAGAGTTGTCAACTGTTTCATTACCTCCTCTGCTGTCACCTCTATATCTGATAGTCTTTCATCTAGGGTAACCCCTTCCAACAATGGGAGCTGCTCAGGCTCGGTAGTGAACACTCCATGGAAACTGGCATTCAGTGCCTCGCAGATTTCCTTGTCACTTTCAGTATATGCCCCCTCTGTCTTCCTTAGTCTTGTCACTTGGTCGTTCACCGACATTTTTCTTCTTATATGACTGTGTAGTAACTTAGGTTGTTTTTTCGCTTTGATTGCAATATCGTTCTCATAGTCCCTTTCCGATGTTCGTCTTATGTTAATGTAATCGTTCCTAGCTCTGTTGTATCTGCTTCTGTTGTCCTCTGTTCTTTGTCTTCTGTACTTCCTCCACTCCCGCCTGCTGGCCATTTTTGCTTCCTGACACTGTCTATTAAACCATGGGTTATTATATTCCTTCTTATTTTTTCCCTTTACCGTTGGTATAAATCTCTCTTCGGCCTCCTGGCATTTCTGTATGACTAGGTCCATCATATCTTGGACTGTTTTTCCTCTAATTTCTTCCTCCCACTGCACTTCACCCAGATAGTCCCTTATCCTCATATAGTCCCCTTTCCTGTAGTCAGCTCTCCTTTCCCAGATCTCTTGTCCCATGGTCATAATTTTGAATTCCATCATGTAGTCAAAGACTAGGACACAATGGTCACTGGCCCCTAGAGGTATTTCATGCTCTAAATTCTCGATATCTTCTACGTTCTGGGTGAAAATCAGGTCTAATAGGCTCGGTGCATCTCCTCCTCTTTCCCTTGTGTCTTCCTTCACATGTTGTGTCAGGAAATTCCTGTCTATAACATCTACTAATTTTGCTCCCCACGTTTCATCCCCTCCATGGGGATTCCTTGATTCCCAATTTATCTCTCCATGATTTAGGTCCCCCATGATCAGCAGCTTCGCTCTCATTCTGTGGGCTAGTGTTGCTGCCTTCTGCAGTTCATCAATACATGCTTTGTTGTTGTCATCATACTCCTGCCTGGGTCTTCTACTGTTTGGTGGGGGATTGTAGATTACCATGATCACAATCTTCCTCCCATCTACTGTCAGAGTTCCATGTATGAAGCTTGTGCACTCAT